CTGCAATTTCCACGGTACACAGAACCCCCCTCCCCCCAAACCCTTCCTATCTCCTCCTGCTTTTTTATTTCTAAGATCGTGTCCTATTCCAAATTCCACCAGATTGACAATGTTTAGATATACTTGTGATAAACGCCGGGTTTTCTTGAAGGCAAAGAGCAATAGGGGTTCGCACGTTTAAGGAAAACGGATAATAAAAATTTTAAAGGTAAGCTGCCTGTAACCTTCCCTGTGCAAAAGACACACTGAAGATACACAGAAGACACACAGAACAGTCACTGAACCTAATATTATACACACCATACCCAGATTACACACAAGACATACTTGAAGACATAGAAAATACGAAGAAAACACAGTGAACACACAGAAAATATGCAGAAGACGCACAGAAGACGTTCAGAAATTATACAGAAGAAACGAGGTGATATTTGTTTTTAGTTTTTAGTTTTAATAAGGTTTTAGGGCGCTCGCAACTGCATAAGGTCATATTAGCACCAAGGGGTGCATGTCAACAAAGAAGTCCGAACGGGGAATCAGGCTTACTCTGCTCACCTCTCAAGCCTCAACAGCACACAGGCTGCTTCGACTATCAAGGCACCCCGGAAAAAGCAGTTTACGAGAGAGTGACAAAAATAAAAAAGAAGAAGAGGAAAAATGACAATAGTAAGAATGAGGAAAGAAAAAGAAGCAGTTCCCCTTATGTTGTTAAGGCACTGTATGAGAATGACATTGATAAATCAGCACATTTACAATTCTGCTGTGCATAAGAACATGCTAATATCCCCCCCCCCCCCCCCTTTGGGAATGGCATTAAGAAGACACTTCAGTCAGTAGCACTGCCCTGGTTTTTTGTGGGGGGGAGGGAGTAATTGCTTTAAGTTAAGATTTAATTGAATTCCCTTTGACTAACAACAAACTCCGCGGAATGTAGCTCGTTTTAGAGAAGGAAAGGCTCGATTGACTATCGTCCACTTATTATACGAGATGTTAGAAGAATTTAAAAAACTTAATAAATATGGCTCGAACTCCGCTCATCTGTTTAGAGATCTATGTTGATATCAAACGATGTTGCGGCACGTAAAAAAAACCAACAACCCCGGGAAGGGACAAAATAACGCAACAGGACGAAATAGGGGAAGAGAGGAAGAGGGTGAAAAGACATGGGGAGGAATATAATAAGAACAATAGCAAACAAGAGATGAAAACGCAACACTAGAGAGACGGTGAGGAGGAATGGGCACACATGAGACACTAGGAGTGGTAGGGAGGAAGGGAGAGAGCTGCAGAGAGAGAGAGAGAGAGAGAGAGAGAGAGAGAGAGAGAGAAAGAGAGAGAGAGAGACAGACAGACAGACAGACAGACAGACAGG